ATGAAATCATAACACTTATCAGGGAGGGATAAACCATGATCCTTTGTTTGAGGGGAGGATTGTTGGGATGCAAGCAAAGTCTCACATCATTCAAACAAGAGGATGAGTGGTATCCAAAAGCAAAATCATGGACTGGGCCCAAAACATACAATATCTTACTAATGTGGAGACATGTGTATGTGTGTGGTAACCCCCGGTGCTCCACACATCCCAACAATGAAAATCATTTGAACACCAAATCTGTGATATGGTTAGCATGGCAATTGGGCAGGTTGGGTACAACTTTCATGATACTCATATTCGTTCCTGTGGTTCAAATTTCATCCCTGTCTCTATCTCCGTATCTATCGGGTATGTAATTTTCATTTCATCATCGTCCTCGTTAGATATCGGATATATCCATACTTGTATCCGTAAAAAAATTAATTAATTTTTTTTGCAGAAAAACACACACTATTTTTAGCTTATCTTTCCATTATATTACAATTGTAATTAGATTCTTTATCTATCTCATATTTTAATTAAGAGACTTCTTAATAATTAAACAACCACAAATATTTCAATCATAATAAACAATCACGCATAATTAAATATTAAAATTCTTTAAAACAATCAAATCGGGGATGAATATTAAACCGGGAACGTAGACGGGGCGGGTAAATATATATCAGTCCCTGTCCCCATCCCCAATTTAATATTTTGGATTTTTTCTATACCTGTACCCATATTCAGTCAAATCGAATATTCTTCATCAAAATCGAAACGAGTTCAAATATTACCCACGTTCCACGAATACGAGTTTATTTGCTATATGATTAACATTATTCAAACTCTTTTCCTTTTTCTCAGTTTCTTTGCAATGGCTAATCGCGAATGATATTTAAGTTGAGATTTTCAAGTACGGAGCCACAAACCACAAAATTAGGGACATATATGTATGGTATGGATTCTTCAGAAATCATGTGACCTGGGAGGTGTGTTTAATATAATTGCCATGTTGTCACTATGGTGCTTTCTTATGTTTGGTGAATGTGATTTTTGCCTTGTGCATCACACGTGACTATTCTATCTTTCTCTCCCTTTTTTAAGCATACAAATATTTTTTATAGAAAATAATTGTTCAATTTTTTTATGATAAAATAATTGTTCAAGTTAGAGTAGGATCATTACAAATATAAATTCCTTTCGAATATATACCATACTTAAAATTCAAATTGAAAACCACTAATGTGTCAATAGAATTTTATTTCGCTAAATACATTCACTCAACACAATTAGGATAAGTGGAAAATAAACTTGATGTTTGGAAGATTTTATGAAAACTTTTTTACAATCCCTCTCATGAAATGATGAAAAGGAAAAGAAAATTATTCTCATAAATTTATATTTTTCTGATTTTATTAATTATATAAATATTTAGATTAAATGAATTCTATTAGGTATAGACAAAATAATTTTTTATTTGAAACTTTCAACTATAATACATTGAATTTAAATCTGACTTCTTTTATACTTTATATCCTTCCATGTAGATTTAAGCTAAAGATAATATATGTAATCCATAATCTCATTAGAAATCTTCAAAAGAGATTGATAATTAACTCTAATCTTACATAAGATCATGTCTTATTCTAATCTAAAATTTTATCTACCAATAAAAAAAAAATCTTAAAGAAAATCAAACTCTTTCCTGATGACCTCACAATTATAATTATGTAAAAAAAAAACCCTATTATGTGTATTGGTATGCATATAGAACTTGAAGCTTGAGATCCTAAACCCTAAACCTATCAAATTAGTTAAAGTTTAAAATTCAAATTTTTTGAATAAAATAAATATGATTGACAAAAGAAACATTACTGATGACCGACTAACTCTTTCGACAGAGATAAATAATTAGTAAAAGTTAGTGAATATTTCACGTTAACAACACGATGACCCCAAAATAATAAATTGTTTAATCATTATTTTTTAACCCAAAATGGTTAATTAATTATTATGCATCGAGGTGGCTTATTGCTTGAACGGATTTTACTCATGAAATTGAAAGCAGAAATTCCTTAAACAAAGTAATAGCCTTTTGCTTAGTAAAAACATTTTATGGCCAAGAAAAGCAGATAAGCTATATACACCTAACTTTCCTTTCGAAAACAACAAATATGAATGAAGACTCTTCAATATTGTTGAGAATATCCTTTTGCTGAGTCTTACTTTCTGTTTCTAATTTCCTTGTTTGTCACGTATTCAGAAATTTGTAAACGAACCACCAAAACTATTGACAACCATTTTTGGATGTATTTAAGGAGATTGTGGTCCTTTAGCTAGCTCCCACCAATTATATATATCCATATATTTCACCTACACAAAGCCATACATGGTTGTCTCAAATGTAGCTCCTAATTAACATCAATCCATTTATCTAGTTGAATTTTTTAAAAATATTATTAGATTTTTATGAATCCATCCTTTTTGTTCTACTCATTTTCCTTATAAAATTAAATTTCCCATGTTATAACTTTAATTTTTGTAATCATCTTTTTATTTTATTTATGTATAAAAGGTGTTAGGATATATAATTCCCTCTTGAGGAGTCAACATATTTGAGAATAAGATGGTATCTCTTAATGCTGACTCAATGATCAATTCGGGAATTAAAGTTATATTAATCTTTTGTGATTTGTAAGCCTCATTATGGGACTTCATGAGTCCAACTTTGTTGGAACAAGATAATTAAGTGAGTTAAATTTGACTATACACTGCATCAAAATTTAACTGCAATAGTACATAAACACTGGCCATATAGAAACAATCAGAAATGATAATTTTGCCACATCATTGCATGCAAGTTTGGAACATTTAAGTCCTGAATTTTGTAAGGTTTTTCACCTTACACTTGAATTTAGCTGCATAACATATGTGTTCTTAGCGGAAATTTGTCGTAGAGGTGATTCGCCAAGTAAGATCGGTGAGCCTCCTTCACGGGTACGCTGGTGTTCCAAGATGGGGGTGATACCTGCAAAAGAGACTCCGATGCTCAAATTAGTGTTTGTGGGAGTATGAGTCTCGTATAAATAATGCACGTACCTTTGTGTGAATTAGGGTTGTGTTGGGCCTTGGGCCTGAGATCTGTTATGATCTGATTAGATAGTAGATCTCGTCTGGAGCGAGATCCCCGAGATCAGTTATGATCTGATTAGTTTATGGATCTCATCTTGAGCGAGATCTCCGAGATCAGTTATGATCTGATTAGACTACGGATCTCATCTGGAGCGAGATCTCCGAGATTAGTTATGATCTGATTAGATTGCGGATCTCGCTTAGGCCGAGATCTCCCAGTGCGTGCCGAGGTTATTCCACGCTGTGATATCGAGCTCGAGCTCGGCATGGCAGTACGGATAGTACATTAGCCCCCCGAGCTCCGAAGACCGTCGGTCAAGGAGTTAAGTCCGAGCTCGTCAAGTGATTGTGGCCCTTCGCGTACATCTGCCTGTCGAGATGCCATGTGTCATAGCCGTCACCTCGTTCCCATAACGCGTGGGCGGCGCAACGACAAGATTGTATTTTTATTTGTTTTGATGGCGTGGCCTTTTTGGGCCGATGTGGTGTTCCGATGTCCATGTTTCATGGTCGAGCTGAGGAGCTCGGCAATAATGAGCTTACTGCTTGGTTAGGCTGGTAAACTTTTGACCGAGTCAGCAGTTTGGTGAAGGACAAGTCGATAACTCGGCTGGCCAGTACACTTGCCCCCCAAGCACCGAGTGATGTAAGAGCAAAGGGGCTTCTGAGGAGTTCCCAAATTTGTTGTTTGAAGGTTCAAATTTGACCTTGTTAAGTAGATGTGATCTCAAGGTTCGGACTCGACCTTGGCATAATAAGGTTCGTACTCGACCTTGGTTAAGAAAATGTAATCTCAAGGTTCGGACTCGACCTCGGCATAACAAGGTTCG